TATTATAAAAGCAACAATACAAGTTTCATTGTTTTATTTATTTTTTATACATAATAAACAAATTTATTTTAATTAAATTTTCTGTATTATAGACTGCAATATAACTATAGTCGATTTCAAATAATGTATAGAGATTTTAATTTTTAGTTGTAAGATACCAACATAAATATATTTACTGCAATCGTACATATCAATTGTTGTTGATTCATTTTATTATAAATATTTTATTATTATGTTTGAAATTATTATATTTTTTATTATTAATGAATATAAATTTTTTTTATTATAATAAATTATTTTTAAAAATAATTCCAAATTAATTTTTTTATTATTTAATTCTAATTTTAAAAACGCAGAAGTTACTTATGAAACATAAATGCTCATGAACATATAGCTTTAAGATGATAAGAATTTGCTATAATCCGTGACTCTATTGCTTGCCGATTAGATTTTACTGATTGCATAGTGAAAACACGCGTCTTCCGAAGCGCCACCTTGCTCATTTCCGATGTTCTTTTCGGAATGGCTGAAACGTTGCTTTCGTGCTGAGAAAACGTGACCACGGAGAACATTGTGTGGCGATCGTGATTAAGAGAACGAGTGTTATACATTATATTGCATTGTATATTGACGTACATTAAGGCTGTCGCGCAACGGCATGCAGCTGTCGAAGTAAATCGACCGGAGTAACACGGATACAGAATTTTTCGCAGTAACACGGGTATCTGGGTGCCGGCACATATCAATATACGCGAGTACGAAGGATTGGTTATTGAAAAAATGGCGGCGGAATGCAAGAATCGAATGATGGTTTTTAAGAACAAAGGCAAAGATCAAGAAGTGAGTATCCAGTGTGTTCTTCGTTGTGCGCAGTTACGTTGTACGTCTGGAAGTTTCGGCTACTGAACTGGGCGACTAAATGAACATTATCATGGGCGCTAATTTTTCCAAATTTGTGCAATTTATTTGCATATTTTGTTATTTCAGTTGGAATTTTGTATTCTGTATATTTATTTTGCACAGAATCCATAAAAATTCTTAATATAACTTTATCAAATATAACAGTATTATATTTTGAATAGAATCATGCAATTCTGAAACAAGTGGAAAGTGTCGCTACATTAATGTCAAATATAGCACTATCAAAGATAGAACTGAACGAATAATTGTAAAAAAGAAAAGTTATATTATTTTAATTATTTCTTTGAAAACTTATAAATAATTTACTTTTATTTACCTTTTATTTTTGACACAAATAATTCACTTTTCTTTTTACATATTTTTTATTATAATTAAAAAATCTTTCAAAAGATTATTATTTATTATTACAAATAATTTTGATTCTATAGCATGTAAATAATATATCTCTCTATATACATATTTTAATAATGTATTAAAATTTATTTTAATTTTTTATAAATATCAAAATAATATTGATGAAAAAATATTAAAAAATAAAGTTTTCCATTATTATAGTTAGAGATTATTAATAATATAATATTAATATTTTATTAATTATTAAGTATAAGTATATATTTTCTTATTATGATACTTTATGTAAGATTTTCATATTATTATTAAATATATTTTAAATTATGAAATTTGATATGTTCATTAAAGTTTGAAAACTAATTCAAATAAATATGTTATATTATTAATATTAAAATAATTATATTATCAAATTTTAAAAAATATATGATTGTTATGTCTATTTTGTTATATTACATAAAGCAAAATATTTAACCTTTAATTTAATTTTTATTTATCATAAAAATATAATTAA